AAAGACGGTAATAAAGAGTGAATATCGAATGGCAGTTGAGAGCTTGATAATTCAAATCGTTACACTCTGTTTCTATATCCAATATGCATCGGGATTTTATATCTATCTGATTGCTTTGTCCGATGCTCGGCGAAATATTCAATCGGGATGGAACAATACCAAAGGTAAACTGGGCGTCACTAATCATGTTACTCCAGTAGCTGTTCACATAGCATACAATGATCAGATCCACATTATTTGATGGATACTAAAACAGTCTTTTTGTCATTTGTTTCTCTGCTTCTGCTCCGCACTTTCCTTTCTCGCTAATTAAGATCGACAATGTCTAAAATTTATCTTGGAACAAAATATCATTATACTGTTTATTTCTATTGTATTGTTTGTCAATAAAATCAATTAAAAGAAAAGACTCATATCGAGGGTTGCATGTTGTATGAGTGTTGTCTTCTGCAAAGCTTCAACTAATTGTATTTATAGTTTCGTCAGTACATCTAGGATTTTCTTAAAAGAACGATCAGTCTTACAATATCTTTAGCATTACCACAATGACTTACCTAAGACGATTGTATATTCAATTTTAAGTTTGGAACTAAAATTCAACTGTCTCGGGCACAAATCAACACCCGAATATAATTTGTTTCTTCAAATTTTGTAAGTAATAAGAGGTAAGTGACAGTGCATGTGAGGATGGGTGAGATGTGAGCTAACCGAGAGCTCACATCTCACTCATTTGTACTGTCCATCCATCTACGCTCACTAAATTTATAGCGAGCTCAGTATTGAAGAGAATATCGCCGTCTAGTCGTTTGTTTTGCTCCGAGAACATTGTGTAGGCTGTGTGGGTGATGGTGTAGGCCTTCGCTTCAGTTGCATACTTACATCCTCGCATTATGTCTTTCGAAAACAATCGTGAATGTAAGTTTTAAGTCAAGATTCTGCGGCTCCCACTCACCTCACAGCAGCAACGAAAGAAAGCACTGAACAGCATTAGCAACAAGATTTAGACTGTCCTAGAATATCCCAAAGTCTTCCTCGAAGCTTGAATGACTGGAACACGTTGATGATAATTCTAAATAATTTAGTGCAGTTTTTGATTTTTGTGGAGATAAAAATTTATATGATAGATGCCAAGCATGATGAACAGTGGTGCATTGATATGGTACCGTCGTCATGTAACCAACATAAAAAGCGTGCACTGATCAAATTAAAATTTTAGGATATAATCGATATCAGTGTTTCTGAGGTGATCGAGATATATAATAGTGTGTCGAGATTTGTCGGAGATATAATCGACGTGAGTTCCACATTTTATCGCCAAAAACGCTGTGCTGACAAGCTTTTTATATTGAAATCTTCTATGATTTCAAAAACAATAACAATTCTAATTGTTGTTTTTTGAATCTGATTATTTCATGCTTGTCTCTTTTTCAAATTGAACATTTCAATAAATTTCTCTTAAATATTTAAAAGCTTAAAATGCGTATGTTTAGTTTTTTTTCCTTATCCACCCATTTTTTTTTTGTTTCTAATAACAAAAAGAAAAGAAATCCAACGTCATTGCAAATAGCAAAGGAAAGATAATATATGAGATGAACAAAAACAGAAAAAAGAATGAAGTTGATATTCACCTGAAAAACAAAATGAAAGAGTAGAAGAAAAAATGCGAGACAATAAAACAGCAAAACAAAACACAAAAACCAAGCGCTGCTTAAAGCACACACACTTAAGATATCTAAACATGAATGAATGATGATAAATGAGAGAGAGTATAAATGTGACTAGGAAGATAAAGAAAAAATAGAACATAAATGAATAAAATAATAATTATGTCTTTGGTCTATTTTTAATTTATGAATTCTTCGCTGGTGTTGTTCCATTTGTTGTCTTTTTATTTCGAGATATTGGTAATGGAAGTTTACTTGGTCGTCGTTGTTGTGAAGAAGATGTCGATGCAATTGAATGTTCAGAAAGATCACTTTCACGACTTGATGTTCGGCTCAATGTTGCTGTTACTGGAGTAGTTGCAGCTACGGCTATTGGTATATGTGATGGTTTTACTTCGGAATCACCTATTTAATTTATTGAATTATTAGAAAATGAGTTTTTTTTTTTTGTTCTAGAAATAATTTTTCTTACTAAGAACATGAGGTGATGTTGAAAGATCATCACCTGATACAGATAAGTCACCAACAGATGCTGAATTTTGTTGTTGTTGTTGTGTTAAAGAAATAGTTGATGATGTTCGTCGCGATTTATCTTTTGTTCCCTTTAAAATTCAATTAGATTAATCAAATAAAAATTTTAGAAAAAAAATGAGATTTTACTCGAATTGGTGTTGTAACAGGTGATTGTTTCGATATTCCACCTGTTGCTAATTGTTGTTGATGAAAAAGACATGTTGGTCGATGAACAGTGACAAGTCTTGGTTTAAATAATGTCATTGTTTGAGCAACACCATCACGTAAAGCATAACTTTCTGGATGTAATTCATAATTAGTACGACCTTTAGCTAAATAAGAAACAACAATTAGATAGACTTGATGATCATATTAATTATAATAACCCAATTAACAAATCAAAACAAAACAAAACAAAACACAACAAAACAACACTCAGTGCTAAAATCTACTATCACCTGTTTGATATTCTGGCATATAATACAGACGTCCTGCAATATGTGATTATATAAAGAAGCAAAGCAAAATAAAAGCATATTTAGGTTTTACAGAAAAGAAGATATACAAAAAGAAAAGTAGGATAAAGGTACCTGCAGCAACAGTCTCCAAAAATCGACTGTAGGCGTGCATTCCTGTATAGAAAAAGTCTTTATGATATATAGTGTACTACAAAAGTTTTTCACTATTTCTTTTTCCAAAGTTTTAATTATATAAGATTATGTAAATCTGTAGTATAAAAAAAATATCGAGTTAGTTTTTAATGAAATTTCATCGTTAAGTAGTTAAGAAAAGAAATATGATTTATGATCAAATAAATGAAATAATTATAAAATTAGTAAATTACTTAAATACTCAGTTATTAATTAATTAAATTTGTAAATAAATTTATAAATTAGTGATTACAATTTATTAACATATAGAATGAATCATTTTTATTCTTCTTTTCCTTTCTCTTCAGCTGTTCTACATATGTTCTCGTTCTTCTAATCTACTTCTTTTAACCAACATATTTTGTAAATAAGAACAATCATTGTTTTAATTCTTCTTATTGTTCATTATCTAAAATAATGGGAAAGATGCTTCTCGACTTGTTTCCCAATCGTTGTCTTTATCTATCTCCATGTATAAATATTTCGTGTGTACAAAATTTGACATATTCGTAGCGATGGAAGTAGTGCTAATCACACTCAATACGATAGCGATATATCGCATAAGGATTTGATTGACAAAGTTCATGGAATAAATGAACTCTAAAAAAACAAGGAATTAAAATGTTGGGTTAAGAGTGCGGATGTACATCTTCTCTCTATGCATTCACCACATCCTTACTAACACAATAATTCGATTTTTATTTGCTCTTTTTTTCAATTATTCTTTAAATTTTTTATTTATTCTGTAGTCCTGTGATGTGCTTAAATTTAATTTCTACTAATAAATTTCGTATTTAATAAACTGATCATTTACATCTTGTTTCTTACTGATCACTTATATGGTAGCAGATAAGAAATCTTATTTCATGGTAATTCATTAATGATCGTTCAAAACAGATTCAAAAAAAATGAAAATTATCATTAAAATTCTTTTCGAATCAAGGCAAGGTTGCTTTGCCAATGATTTTTTTTTTCATAAGAAGTCATTTGAAAGTATTTTCTAAACCTCAACATGAATCATTCAGAATAGTTATATGCATGGGAAGCTTTTTTCATATTCCGACTGAGAGAAATTTTCTAACTCTTATCCTACTCTGAAAAGTAGGGTAATCCTGCACATCTCTAATCAAGAACCTGTATCATCTATGTAATTCCATGTTTTCGCTTGGTTTCATTAGAACTTATGAATGTGATGATGGTTTATCATTGTTCGATGCAAACTCTTTCGATTTCAGGATGAGTCAAAACTTTTTATCATATTAAAAGTACGTGTAACAAATGATAAGAAATAAATCTCGATCGATTACTTTTCATCAAAAATAAATCAAAATGAAATTATTTTCACTTAATTCTAATCTGATTATTAGTCATTAATTTAATGTTTTTAAAAATTCTTTCTAATCGATAAATAAGCTTTGAAGAAAACAATGAAACTTAGAAAAAAAAAGACATAAATTTTTGTATCTGATTATAATTAGATAAAACTACTACCACTTTTTATCGATTTCATATAGATTTATGGTCATTCGTATCCATAAATGACATTCTTTTAAAATCATGTAAATAAGACATCAGCAGTGAACATTAAAAAATCGATTAGAATTTTTTTCATTAGATTATCAATCCATTCTATAGTCAAACTCGGTTTATATATCCTGCAACAATCTCTATTTCGGACTCTAATTCCTAATCTGATGAAGTTATTTTTTATTATAAATCAAAGATAAATTGAATATGAAATATGAAAATTTTTGTAGTACTCCATATAACACATAAAAGCATATATATATATATGTCTTACCTCGACATGGATCATGTCGAACGAGAAATTCATCAAGTGCAGTCCAACCACCACCAACTCTAACCATAACTGTTGAACGAAGTATACGAACAAGACGAAGACTTTGTGATTCACCAAACTAAATATAATTTTATTTTTGTTTTTTTTTCAATGAACAAGAAGTTTTAATTTTTATATTCTATTTACTCGATATCGTCCTTCAGAAACTTGTTGTACATCATATTTTTTTGAACATGTACAAAGTGATGCTTGACGATTAACTTCATTTTTAATTCTATCAATATCTGTTATTTCAGGTCGAATAGTCTATTTAATAATTAAATCAAAATAAAATCGTTTCAAAAATTTTTATTGAATTACTTTTTTAGTTTCTTGAAAAGCTTTTTGTAATTCTTTTGTACGTTCCGTTGTACGTGTAAGAATTTTTTGCCAACGTGTTTGTACAGCTATTAAAGAATTTCTTATATAAATTGAATCATTTTTAGGTGAAACAAATTTTAAATGTGTTGCTAATTTATCTAAATCAATAAGATGTTCTTTATATGTTTGTAATTGTGCTTGAAATAATTCATGATCATCAATTTGTTTTAATAATGTTTGAATTAATGCAAAACGTCGTTGAACAGGTTTTAAATTATTTAAATAACGTTCTGTTTCATTTAACCATTCAGTAAATTTTTGTAATGTTGAATGAAATAATTCAATTGAATGAGCTAATTCAATTAATTCTTGTCCTTTTGTTAATGTTCGTTGTTTAACATCAATTAAACGTTCTAAAGAAAAAAATAAAAAACATTTTTCTTTTCTAAGAATATTGGCCATTCGAAATTGGAACAAAGGTTTTTTTTAATATCATTGGATATAGCTCATCAAGTTATTGTTTTTGAAATTTTAGATGATGCATCAACATATAGTTAGGAAAAAACTAAAAGTGCTTTTTCGAAAAATATTGTTTGATTGTTGAGAATATCGATTTTTACGATATGATAACAAAACGCCATAAATTCAGGTTTGTATTCAGAGATTTTGGTCCTCAGAACTTTTGTTTCAAACGAAACGAATATCATATTTAGAATTAGCATATAGTATACACAATACTTCAAACTAATTTTGGTCCTTGCCCCCCCCCCCCCCCCCCATCAATGATATTTCTGAATACTTCGACTTGCGCTTTCTCTAAAGTCGAAATTCGACGAAAATTAGTTTTATTTATTGCGTATACTATTCGATAGAGATTTTTCTGCTCATTCTGAATATGATATTCGTTTGTTTTGAACTAGAAGTTTGGATAGTCAAAACTATGAATACAAACCTGAATTTATAGAGTTTTGCTATCATATCGAAAAAATCAATTTTCTCCAAAATCAAACGATATTTTTTCTTACTGAATAACTAGTCAAATCAAAAGAAAAATTCAGATAAACATTAAGTTTCAATTCTTATAGTCCTTTTTGTGAAATACGATCTTAAAGGAGCGTTGAAGTATATAGGGTAAAAAATTTCCCCCTCCGCCTCTCTCCCACCGCAACCTGTATAGCAACAAGGTCTCGTTATAATATATGAACTAGTTGCTGATTACATTTCTGAAGGATTAAGTCAAAGGATGGTGAAAAAATGTGTCTCAAAATAGATGCATAAAAACAATCTTCCTGTGACTAGCAATAGCCGCTTCATCGTGTTTCATATTTAAATCCTATGCGGATTGCGCTAGCACTTTTTTAACCTAATCTTCATTACAAAAAAAACATTGTCTAAATATATATTTTTCTAGTTAATTCGATGAGCTCTATATAACCATGACAAAAAAAAAATATTGAACAAATTTCGAATTTGTTGACATTTTACTTTTTAATTCTTCAATTTGTTGATTATTATTATCATTTGAAAATTCTTTATTAATTTCTTCTTCAATATATTCTAAACGTTCAACAAGTAAAGGAAATTTTGTATTTATTGTACTTTCATTAACTTGTTTATCAATTAAATCTAATGCATAATAAATATGATCAATTGTTTTTTGTTTTAATTTCATATATTCTAATTTATTTTCTAAATAATTATATTTATCTGTTGCTTGTTTAAGTAATTCTTCCCATTGATTATTTATTGATATAATTGAATTTTTATCTTCCGAAGAATTTTGTTTTAATTGTTCAATATCATAAGATATTAATTCAATATCATTTAAAAGTATACGAAGTTTAGCAATTGAAATTTCAATTTGTTTCATATCATTTAAATTCATATCCAATGAACTATTGATAAGAACTGATAATTTTGATGAACAATTATCTAATGATCGATTTATATCAGTAATTACATCATCAATACGATTTTGACGAAGTGCAGTTTCATAAATCAGAGTTTTACTACAAAAGAAAAAATTTATTTTCAAATTAAATAATCAAGTTTTTAGTCTCATATTGATAAACTAATGTATAATCGTCATCAAGTAGTCTGCAGAGGGCGATCTTATATTCAAGAAATTCCAAACAAAAACTTCAGATAATATTAGAATCATCAGAATTGTATAGATATCTAAATTGAACTTCTCTATGATTGTAAAACAGAAACTATCAATAGAATTTCAAAAACAAAAGAAATGGTTACAGATGTTAAATATACAGAACATCAGCTACTTCTGATGTGTACTGAACCGAAAAAACCAGGCGAAGGTGTTATAGGACTACCCCTAACTCATCTTTCCTTAATTGTTTTCGAATCCGTCTCCACACTAGATTCGTTTCCTGATTAAATTAGTACGTAATTTTTATATATATGCATTACTAATGTAATTTTATTGAGTAAGGAAGACAATTTTTATCACTACATCAAAAAATAAATATCAACATTTTTTCTTTTACAAGCATAAAAACAAAACAAATTATTTATAAATAGAAGAGAAACATTTTAGTTAATATCAAAAGACAAGTCATTAGTTAACATCAGTAGTCTTAACAACTTCATCATATTTAATGGCTAAATCCATCTTAGTGATTTGTCTATCAGAGAACTGTTCGAGAAGTAAGTCTACATTGTTATTTCGTTTTTCTCCTCTTGTGTAATTGTCGACTATTTAATAAAGTGGGGACGAATTCGGAATAATTAAAAAGGGAACAAATCAGGGATAAATCGCGTCACAGAGGATAATGCCAGCACCAAAATATTGGTGGACACGATCATCATCAAAGAGTATTTTTTTGATGTGCGGCGTGGCTACACCTAACAGTAACTGAAGAAATATTTTGACTCATATTAAGAAATAGTGTTTTATTTTTGAACATTTACTTATGAATAACAATATAAAGTTGAAAATATCACGAATTAACATTATTATCAGTTCATTATAATACAAAAGAAAATTTCTTTTTGTATAATTATTCATTAGTAATGATGAATTTAAACTTACTGTTCTTGTACTTTTTCATTTAATTGTGTCCATTTTGAATCAATATTAATTAATTGTTCTTCAACAAGATTTGTTTTTTCAGTTTCTTCCATATCATGTTCATCTTGTTGTATTGTTCCATCAGTTCGTTGTTGTTTATGTTGTTCAATATCAGTATAATCTTGTTTTAAATTAATAATATCAAGATATTTACAATCTAAATGTTCTTTAAATATTCGAATACGTTCAAATTCATTATTATCTTCAATAGGTAATGGAAATAATGTATCATCAAACCATGTTGATACACGTTCTAATTTATTATTAAATTCATTTGATTCAATCATAGCTTGTTCTAATTGATTTTGACATTGATTTAAATTTATTTCAATACGATTCCATTCTTGTTCTAATTCATTTAAATTACGTTGAATATCATCAGTTTCATCTTGATTATTTGATATTAATGTTAATAAAAGTGGACTATGTTGATGAAGAATTTCTTTGTATTTTATTTCATTATTTGAAAAATCATTCATTAATTGTTGATATTTTTCTTTTTCATGTTCAATATGTTCACGTGATGTTGAACGTGGACGAATTTGTGATAATTGTTTATCAATATTATTAAGAAATGTTGTAAGTTCATTATGTTGTGACCAAAATGTATTAGCACATGTTTGTGTTAAAAGAAGATTTTCTGTACGAATATCATTAGCTTGTTTCATTATTAACCAATGTTCATTTAATTGAGTAAATTTTTCATCAAGAGCTAAAATTTAAAAAAAAAATTATTTAATAATAAAAAAATATTTTCAACATTGATTTATAGTTTTCGTTGATCTGAGCATGCAGTAGCGTGTATAAAGAGTTTCAACGCTTAAAAATTTTCGTATTACTCAGCATTGAAGTTTTCAAAAATAGACGCTTGTCGAAGTGTAATGATTATTTTGGACAGTGCTGTTTGTGATACTTTTAAAAAATTAAATAGCACCATTAAGTCTCCATAGGAACTCAAATCTTTTTAGAGTTAATACAATGTAGTATCAACAGCCAAAAAAATATCACTGAAATCTGAAGAAGACAACAGGAATTGTTCGCTCTTAAGCAAGATGATATACTCAAACTGATGTAGTGTTCAATAGTAATATTTATTTGTCCGAAATCTTGTTTTAATCATCTTGACTTGTTCGAGAATTAGTTTTAATTTTTATTGATCTCGAAATTAGTATTTGTACTAATTGATTTTATATCTACTTCTAGTTAGTTTCTCTTCTCAATTTATAATAATTATTTATTTCTTAGAATATGATTGCTGTGTAGAGAAAACAGGAAATTAACCAAAGAGATTCATTACTTTTATGTTCAAATTTTGGACATACAGACCTAAATAATCTCAGAAAAAAAAGATTCCAATCCATAGGTTCTCTCTACAGAATTACGATAATTTCGTTAAATTTTTACCAAAGAACCGGATTCCGAACGAGAATGTATTGCGACTGAGAAAACAGGGTGATCTTTAGTCTTCATGATCTAGATATTTCCTCGAAGGGAGTATTTGAGAATTAGAAGTCTATGACAACTTGTGCTCTACTCATTGAAATCTATCTACTCTGAAAGTTTCAAATATTTCTGATAAGCCGTTCTTGAGAAACACTGGAAATGGGAGTTCCTCCCCTTAATAATATCTGATTCCTCTTGAATTAATACTAACCTTTAATTGAATCGATATCTTCGGGATTTGTTGTTATTTGTTTAAGTGTTACTATATTTGAATGTAATTGTTCAAGAGCAATTTTACGTCGTTCTAGTTCACTTTCAACAGCAGCATTATCAAGTAATTGTTCACTTAATTTAATTGGTTGTGCAGATATTGTATCACCTGTTGATGATACTAATAATTCAGATAATTCATTCATAGCTAAAACTGTTTCGTCTAAATGATGATGAAGTTCATTTGTTAATTTATTTGTTATTTCTGGAGAAATCTACATAAATATAAATCATAATTATCTGTTTACTTTTTGTTTTCTATATTTTCTTTTACTTGTTCTTCTGGTGTTATTGTTGTTGTTGTTGTTGTTGTTGTTGGTAATTGTGTTGTAGATTGTTGAATATGATTAATATTTTCAAGACGAATTTTTGTATTAATTGTTAAACTATCATAATTACGATTAATTATTTCTAATAAACGTTCAATTTTATTTTCATTATCATCATTTAAATTAACAGCTGAACTTTGTAATAAAAGTTCACCTTTATGATTGATTAATTCAACTTGTTCATAATATTTTTCTAAATCATCACTAAATGTTTTTAATTCATTATCATTTATTATTTGCATTTCTATTTGTTTTTCATTAAGTTTATCAATTAAATCATTTGATAATTGATGAAATTCACGTAAATCTTCTTGATGTAATTGAATATAATCAATTGTATCAAGAATATATTCAACATATTCCGACCATGATTTATCTAAAATTAAAAAAATAAATAAATATTAATTGATTTTTTTTTATATTAAGAATATTTTAATTTTTTTTTTACCAATAGAAGCAATTTCATTTTGGATAGGTTCAGTATCGATATATCGTTGAGCAGTATTAATTAATGTTAAACCACTAGTTCTATATTCATCAATAGTTGAAGTCATATGCTTCAATTGATCGGCAATGTCCTATGTTTAATATAATTAAATTTTATATAAATATACTTATGTTTTGTTTCATGATAATGTTTTATTAAAATCTATTATTAAAAATGTATGGCAAATGAAAGATGAATTTCATTAGAAAAAAAGTTGGTCACTTAAAAGATGTGCAGTATTAGTGTAAATACAGACAATGAGTCACTGACACTATTGTTCACTCGGGCACTGATATTTGATCTGAAATTTTCTGTATGTAGAGAACTTCATTAGATTAGCTTTCATAAAAAATTCAGACGTTTTAAACAAATTCTCTTAGAAATATGAAACTTTTAAAAACTGCATATTGAATACAATATCCATGGAAAAGGGTTTTTATCTTAAAAGTCTCATATCTCGAAGAAGTTTTCTTCAAAACTTCTGAATTTTGTTTATGGAAGCTAATTCAGTTGAGTTCTCTATATGCGCAAAGTTTCAGGTCAAAATTCGAAGATTCATTTTTTCCGGCAACTTGAGGCCTCACAGGAACATCTGGAAAATTCAATAGCGTAGCCAAATTTCAATATGTATCCAAATCCTTTTAGGGCTTTTACTAGGGCACTATGTAGTATCTATAAACAAAAATTTATTGAAATCCGAGAAGGTCACCTGAGGAAGTTTCCTTGTTAGTCAAATCTCAATAGGAACCGAAATCCTTTTATAGTTTCTATTAGAACACTATATAGTATCTATAGGCAAAAAATCATTGAAATCAGAAGGGTGCATCTGAAAAGATTGACTCATTGGTGTAGTTAATCCACACTGGCATCAATGTTTGATGAAGCACTGAAACACACCGCTTCAAAAAGGACACATTTTGATAGAGTTGATATCTGAATGTTGCAGCGAACGCGGATGCCACTGTCATCAGTACTTCAGTGAACCCTGTGTTGGTGACACACTGTCAATATTTCAGTATTTGTTTGTATCAACACTGCACGTCCCTATTGATACCGTTATTCTTATCAAAATTTGCTAAGATGGAATATAGACTACCCAGTAGAGCCCGTCGGATCGGTGTTGGATTCGACAGACTCTACTGTTCAGTCTCACATAGAGAGATTTTATTGTAGATATCTTCAATCGATTTCAAGTATTATTTTATGTATTCAAATCGAAATAGATTTTCTAATAAAAAAAAAATTCAAATAAAATTTTACTTTATATCGTTTTAACATAATTTCAATTTGTTGATTATCTAATGGAAGTATTGTATTTTCTTCTAATGTAACTAATTCTTTAGCTTTTTCAATAGAATTTTCTGCTTTTTGTTTTGCTAATTGATATTGATGTGTTTGTTGTTGAATTTTTTCTAATAAATTAATATGTTGAAGAATTTTTTCTTTTATTAATAAATAATTTTCAATTAATTCATCTGTTTGTCGTTGAACTATTTTAATTATATTTGTATTATGTTGTTTATTTTTATTTAAATTTAATTGTTCATATAAATGTTTAAGATTTGATGATGAATAAAATTCTATTAATTTTTGATTTAATAATTTAATTTGTTCAATAGGCATATTATTATGTTCATTTAATAATTGTTGACATTTATCAATAGTTAATTCATTTGGTTGTTGTTTTAATAAACGTTCTGTAGTTAATAACCATTCTTGTAAAACATTTTTATTAGATTCATATTCATTTAATATTTGTTCACGTTGTGAAAGAATTAATTTTAAATTATTTTCAAATGTATTATATTGATTTTTATATTGATTTATTTGTTTTTCATATTGATATATTTCATCTTGATCTTCAATATTATTTGTTTCAATTAATTCTTTTTTTAATTGTTCATATAATGTATGATCAATAATTAAATCATTATTATTATTTAATAATAATTGTAATGTTGAAAAATTAATATCATCATTTTGTTCAATATGTTCACTATAAAGACGTAAACGTTTTGAATAATTATCAATTAAATGACTATGTTCAAGATGAAATTCATTTAAACGTGTTGATAAACGATTAATACGTTCATTATATTGATTAGCTTGTTCATCTAATAATTGAAATGATTTATTTATTAAATCAATTGTTTTTTTATCATTATTATCAAATAATTGTTCAAGATTTATTTTTCTATTTATATCTGTTTCAAATGAATGACGACGTTTTAATAATTGTGCATGAAATTGACGAAAATTTATTATTTGTTCATCAAGTTTTGAACGTTTTAATGATAATGGCTTAGAAAATAAATCATTTGAATTTATTGTTTTATCTGTATAAGATAATAACCAATTATTTAATTCATCTATACGTTCTTTTATTGTTTGACGTTCATGTTTATCATGTTCTAATAATTCAAAATTATTCATTAAACCTTGTTGAGCATCATTATAATGTTGAGTATGTGAATCAAGTAATGTACCAAGCTAAATAAAGCGATTATATAAAACAAATTTATTTTCACTTTTATAGTAAATTTGTTTTTTCGAACTTTAAGAGGTATTCAAGGACTGAAATATTGGAAGCCCTTCTCAATTTCATGATTATTAAAATCAAAAGAAAATAGAATATCTACGATGGTGGAACTGATGATGATCAATTCTCGTTTCTCCGACGAATCATCATAGCTCCGTTGAGAGTTTCTCTAAAACGTAGGAATTCCTATTTCACAGTTCTTGGATATTGCTGAAGAGAGGTGGGTGTGAATTTTCACTTCAACCACATCTACATCTTTTTTCTCGCTATCTTCTTTCGGCCAAATCAAAGCCATTCCTTTAAGAGAGCACTCGTGAGAATACCCGAGAATTATCATCCCAGTTTACGAGGTATCGAGTCAAAATTTTAATTTTTAATTTTTTAAAAGGCTATCGTCTGAAACCACTAAACTCAAACATTTTTCATGCAATATAGTAAAAGATAGAGTATCAATAGCTGAGAAAAAATGAACTATTTAAATTCGTACATATCATATATTTACTGAGATTTTTTAGTCCAATATGAGGGAGAAAAGTCACAATTCAGTGGCGGTTTTAGGGGGGGCGCTTGGGGCGATCGCCTCCATTCGAAAAAAAATTTCGATTTTTCCCAGCAGAAAAATCATTAAATGGGGTTCATACTACTACTAATAAACTTCGAAGCTCACTATCTGATCAAAATCGCCCCCTATCAAAAAAATTCTAGATCCGCCACGGTCACAATTTACCAGATGTTTGACAGTATAGCTGCTGCCACTTTTTGAAATCACAAGACACCAAACTGAGTTTTTTATATATCATGTAACTTTTTATTCACTACAAAATGATAAAAGAATACTGAAAAAAAAGTTTACCTTCGAAATGAGAGGATACTCACATTTCTCTCCTACATATGAATTTTTCAAAAAAAATTTGAAAAAAAACATTTTTAGATGTTTTCATTGCTATGACACGATTGTAGAGCGAAATAAATGTAACATTCGGAATCAGCGTCGAAAGTTACATTGAGTCAAATATATTTTAGAGAATTTGTTTTCTCGTGACAAAATCATCTATGGATCTCCACAGCTGTATTTTATTAAAATTTCGCCGTGATGCCTCACGGAATAGGTTTTCGCAAGAAAAAAATTTCTCTAAAATGTATTTGACTCAATGTAGCTTTTGATGCTGATTCCGAATGTCAGGTTTGTTTTGCTTTACAATCGTGTCATAGCAATGAAAACATATAAAAATGTGTTTTTTTTTCTTTTGAAAAACCACTATGTAGGAAAGATATATAAGTACTATTTCATCCCGAAAGAAGCTTTTTTTCAATATTTTTCTATCATTTGGTAGAGAATAAAAAGTTACTCAATCTATTAAAAAAAATTCACTTCGATGTCATTTGATTCCGATAAATGACAACAGATATACTGTTAAACATCAACTGTTATGGATCGGTACACATTGTGACCTTTCTTACTCATGCTGAACTACAAAATCTCAGTAAATATATGGTATGTAAGAATTTAAATAGTTCATTTTTTCTCAACTATTATTATTCTATCTTTTAGTATATTGCACAAAAAATCCTCTGCTGTGTTGAAGAATAATTTCTAATGCACATCTATGAGACGATTCTAACTACTTTTTTGATACTTCTCAAAAGCCGGTATTAGCGAACTTTATCATAGTACATCCAAATGAGTTAAAAATTTGGGTTTACTGGTTTCAGACGATGGCCTTGTAAAAAATGAAAAATAGAAATTTTGATCAGTGTCTCGGTTTCTTAGTCCTACCATTGATGCTCTCGTAATATGTTGAAGAATATATAAAAGATTACTTGTAATGTTTTTTTTTTGACTTCTATAAGATTAATCTCTAACTTACATGTTCTTTAAGTTGATTTTGTATATGATAACTTGATGACATAATTGGTGATGATGACATAGGTTCATGTGTTGCAAGCATACTTAATTTATCCAATTGTTGTTGAACATTAAGTAAAAGAACTTGTAATGTATTATCATCCTAAATAAATTTTTTATTTTTTATTACAAAAAAAAAAGAAAAATCTATCATTAGGAAAATATTTACTTGTTGTTGATTTTTATTTGAAGCTAAATTTTGATCAAATTCATTCATTGATTTAATAATTTGTTCATTAAGATTATTAACTTCATTATATGTTAACATATAACGTTCACATTGATCAGATATTTGTTTACAACGTTTAAGAAAATCTGTATAATTTGTTGATAAAATATCAAAACGTTGTTGAAGTTGTTTATATATATTAGCTGATTTTCCACCATCAGTATTTCCAGTTGCTTGTTCAAAATCTTGTATAGTTAAACCAATTAATTGTAAATGTTCTTGAAGATTTTTAAGATCATTTTGTAAATTAATTGTTGTTGTTAAAATTTTTTGAAATTTTTCATTATCATTATTTAATGTTGATAATTCTAATGGTTTTTGAATTTCTTTATTATTTATTTCAAGCCATTCACTTAAATGATTATATTCAGTATTGAATTGATTAACTTGTGTTATAAATCGTTCGATTATATCACTTAAACCACTATTGATATCTGCGATCTAATTGAAAGAAAAATAATAAAAGTCTTTTACGTTCATGTTGTTCAATTAAAAATTATTCCACTATAAGATAATTGTTCTAGCGTTTCTCTTAAAGTGAGCCGCTACCAACTCATGCGTCAGCTTACAACTCTATTAGTGGATGTAAAACATATCGTTTTCTTTCAACTAACAAGGATAGTATTTGATAGGCGTCAAAATCTTTATTAATATATAATTAACATAAAAAAATAAATTTCTTACTTCAACTCGTTTTTCTTCAAGATCTTGACTTAAAGTAACAAGTTGAGGATTAAATTGATTAGTTCGTTCAATAAGATTATCAATAGTTGTTTTTTCTTTTTCAACACCTGAATGTAATGTCTATAATGAAAAACAAAAACTAATAAGTCTTATTTTGTTTGATTTCTTCATCATACTTTGATTTGTTGAACATTTGTTTGAAGTTCATTGAGATTATCAGTTAAATAAACATATTGATTTAATTGATCATGTAATGATGTTAAACGATTAGCAGTATCATGTATATCAATAATAATTCGATTGTCATCATTCTAAAAACAAAAAAGAAAACTCGATTTGTTTATTTTTTCTTTGTTTGTTTTTCTAAACGAGAAATGTTTCATTAATTTTTAACAAAACATGCAAAAAACCAAGCAGCATTATAATTAGTTCATAGAATGAATTAAAAAATTTTCGCGAATTTTTTTTTTTTGTTTTATTTTACGTCAAGTTTTTTGCCATTGTAATAATGATCTGAGAGAAATAAATAATCTTTTTTTTATTAAATAGATTACAAAAAAAAAACAAGTCTTTTATAGTCAATGTACGTACGGCTTAAATGATGTTATTTTAATTGTTAGTAGTCTGTTTAGAGTTTTTTTTTCTTTAATTAAATTTAAAAAAGAAAGAAAGAAAATTTTACCTGAATTGATTTTTCATTATCTTTAATTTTGAATGAATTATCATTAATATTTTCTTGTTTTTTTTCTATAACAGTATCAAAACTCGATTCATTTGTATTTGATGCATCTAAGAAATCTTCATCATCATCATCATCATGAATATTTTCAACTTTTGATGGCGGTGGTTCATTAGAAACTTGTGTATTTGGTTGAACATGATGTGACATGCCTGATTTATGTTCAACAAGATCATTTGGTTTTTGATTATCATTATTATTTAATGTTGATGTTAATTCCTGAAATATGAAAGGTATTATATAGAATTTTATAAGACAATATGTGTATATAAAAATGCTGCGATTTTTGTCAATATGAGCTATGCTATAAAATTACTAAATGTGAAAATACCACATACCACACTTCAAGCTAGAGTAATCAGCTAAACACACACACATACACACACATGCAAATGGCTTTGCGTGCGTTGTGATTTTCCTATATAAAAACAAATGTAGAGACAAGAAGAATAGAGATTTATAATACATTTCAATTAGTTGAAATGTTTTTTATAGACAATGACTGTTCTTAAAGGTAGATATTATTATCCGTCATAATATAATTTGATGATAAAATCTCATTGTATATAAATTCATTTCGAAAGCGAAAATAACTGATTTTTTATTTCTAATAAAATTCTAAACTGAATATCTTAGAGAAACTCAAAAAAGTTTTGTCGTCAGACGCATCATTATCTGATTATCTAGTAGAGTCCGAAAATTTTCGGATCCGATGGGCTCTACTCGTCTGAGAAATGCATAGGATTGCTACTCATCGAAACTGGAATAAATATCTCGTATCTTCGGGACGACTATCCAATTCTACTTAGAAAATTTCATTGAGAGTATCAAAGTACGATTCAACCGAGTCCGAAAACTTTACACCTGACGGTCTCTATTACCTACCCTTCGTAAAAATCTATATGAACAAAAAAAAAACCAATATACCTTAAAGAAATTTCTCAATAACTTCACTAACGAAATTTCCCTTATATTCTTACCTTTTTAATTTTACTATTCTAAAAACGAAATATATATGTTTTTTTTGCCTATGAAATTAAACGAAAAAGAAAAAAAAAATTAAAAAGCAAAATTTTATTTATTATTTCTTTCTTTCTTTAGATAGTGATGAATATTTCACTTTTTCTGTTTTCCTTTTTTTTTGTTCATATATATATATATATATATATATGTATAACTGTCTCTATCTTCTTGTCTCTTTATGTTTGTTTGTTTGCTTTTCTTTCAGTCAACGCATGAAGATAATAAAAAAAAGAAACGAGTATACAATTATGATAAACGAGGAAAGAAAGGAACAATCAATAAATGAAACATATACTAAAAGAAAAAGAAAAAGACTTTTCTAAGACGAACACAAAAAAGAAAAACGAATGAACATGTTAAGTTGTTTTGTTCAAAAAAAAACTTAACATGATGATAATACAAAAAAATAAGTTCTAAACGTCTATACATAGAACGCTGGACATTAATGTAGAGTGACAAATAACAAATAATTAACAATTAAAGGAAATTGTAAATTGTATCCTTTTTTTTTCTTTTTTTTTTT